GGTTAAGCTTGTAAGAAAAGTAAAAATCCCTCTTAAGTACCTCTTAATTTAAAATTCTACAAATTCGGGCCTCTAAAAGAAATAAGTAACTAAAGACAATTAATTATAGGATAAACTACACGTTTAATACATCCAACTATTGTTTTAGTCACTTAACAACTATCACTCTATTCCCTTTTAGTCACATAATTGTTTTTTTTTCCAAAATCATACCTAATATTACATTTTGGGCATTCATCGTTAAAAAATTAACATTGACGTTGATATGTCATCATAAAGTAATGTCAAGTCATCATTGATTTTTTTTTCAAAAAAATGTTTAATATAAAAATAAGTGTTCAAACTGTGCATCGAAAAACGTTTTAGTGCATAAATAATTTTTCGTCAAAAATAGGTGAATAATGTTTCCAACGTTACATTTTTAAATATCAGGACATTAACTGTTGTTAAAAAATATATGTTAAGTGACACATATCACATTATAGTAATTATGGAGAATTTTATTTATAAAATAAAAATATTTTTTATTTAAAAACAAAAACAAAAAAAACACACGTGCCTCCCATCTCTCCATTCTCTCTTTTTTCCCCTTCCAGATGTTGTCGATCAACCAGTCATGTTCGTCACCGCCATCATCATTAGCACCGGCGTCGACCTTTGATCAACCCCTCGTTGACCTTTCGTCGTAATCTGCCACCGTTTGCAGTGGAGAAGCATTCAAATGCTCGTCAGATTTTAAGCCACCGTCATTTTTCTTCGTCGATTTTAACGTCCATAAGTCACACAGTCACCACCATTCGAACCATCGTTCAATTCCAATCAAAACTCAACCGTTCGGTGATGACGATGATGGTCATCGATGGTTGGTAATTGGTTAAAATGAGAAATTTTAATTTTTCAAAGATTTTTATAATTTCAGTAAAAATAGATTTTTATAAATAAACTAAGTTTTTAAATTTTTTTCTTTTCTTTTTTAAAAATAATATTTTTATTATTACAAAAATATAAAAAAAATATAACGGTAGGCACCTAAAATATAATTGAGAAAACGTTAAGAACTTATTTTTAGCGAAAAATTCTTTAGGTATTAAAGTATTTTTCGAGACATAATTTTTGTAGTTATTTTTGTATTAAAAAATGCCTCGCCAACAGTTCTATTACTTTTTCATGGCGAGTGATCAAAAAGAAATCAAAATATAATGTTAAATATGATTAAAAAGAATAATAGTTGAGTGATCAAAACGAAATAAAAGTGATAGTTAGGTACTAAACATGTATTGTAGCCTTATTTGTATTGTAAATAATTTTAAAAAATCTTTAATATTTTACATTAATAAATTTAAATGATGATGAATTTAATTTTGCACTTTTATATTATATTAATTTAGTCACAATTCTTATAAAAAGAATATGAAAGATATCTAATCATTGATTTAATAATAACTAATAATAATAATCATAGAATTCTTGAAGGTTTTAAATGGAAAAATATACTAGTTTTTTTTTATAGAAGTAACTAATTTTATTTAAAATAGAAAATATTCCAAATTATAATAAAGATTTACAATCACAATTATAGATTAAGAACATAATTAGGAAAATTTCCTATAAGCATTGAACCAAAACTAGTAACTTAAGATCACATAAGGACCATACAAGAACGGTTGAGCGTTCGATCGAGTCGAGTTAAAAAAATTTGAGTTATTTGAGTTGACGAGTCTTATTTTACAACTTGGACTTGATTTGAATTTTTTTCGAGTCAAGTTGAGTCTACTTTTCAAGTTTCTATTTAAATTTGATTGTAAATATTTATAATATTATAATATTATTTGATTCCAATTTAAGTGATTTTCTATAACCATATATACAATACAATATATTTATTCATATTCTTTTCAAACATGATATACACATATCATACAAAGTCCAAGGACTCGAATCAAACTTGAAAATAAATTCACTAATTATTAAAATATTTCGAGTTATTCGAGTTGCATTTTTCAACTCGATTTGAAGTTGAAATTTTTTCGAGTCAAGTCGAGTTTATGAAATTGAAACTCGAAGTCAATTCGAGTTGAAAATTTCATTTTTTTCAAGTCGAGCCAATTTTTACTCATCCCTACATACAAGGAAAGATTAAATCTAACTTAGAAACTCGAATAAAGATATATACAAACAAATATGATCGCATCGACAAATGAACCACAAAAGGGGGTCAAGCTATTGAAAGACCACCGACAATCCGCAAATCAGACTTGAACGACGTGAAAAGCTATACACGAACGCAAATCGAGTATTCAAATCTAATTTGATGGTCCAAAGCATGGAAAATCAACAAGATATCAGATTATATTATCTTGATCAGTAGTGACGATGTCAAATCAACCCTTAGAAAAAAAATAAAAAAAAAGGTCAAAAAATAAAAAAAAAATACAAAAAATATATAAGAAAACGTATTATAAATGCATATGAAAACATGCAACACATGCAAACTTATTAAAAATAAAACACAAAAGAAAATAAAGATATGACAGAGAAGAAAAATAAAATAAAGAATATCGGTAGTTGGTAATCAACAATAATGTTTGTGTTGTGTAGTCGTCGATCAATAAAAACGAAGAATAAAAGAGATGAGCGGCATAACAACACACCAATGAGAGAAAACATATTTTTAAAAAAAAAAAGAAATACAAGGTAAAAATATTAATTTTTTTATATAAATTTTTTAATAAAGTTTTTAATTTTTGTGGAATTAATTTGATTACTCATATAATGTTAAGGGTGTTGAGATCGTTTCTTTACCTATAATGTTAATGAGATTGAATCAATGCCCTAATGCATATACGACATTACATTAACAGTAGGCTTAAACTAAAAAAAAAGTCCCTCAACTATACTCCATTTTTACTTTATGCCCCTAAATATTTTTTGTCAAAATAAGTCCTTAAATCATTATACGTAGTCACTTCAAGTATCTAAACTATTTTTTGGTCAAAATAAATACCTAAACAATACCTCTTTTTTGCTTCAAGCCCCTAAACTATTTTTTGGTCAAAACAAGTATCTAATTTCATGTGATACTATTTGATTTTTTATTAAAAGATTTTTAGTTTATTTTTAAAAAAGTATGTAGAATAAAGTAATGTCATATAGTTAAGAAATCATTTGTGTATTTTACTAAATTTTTTTAACAAAGTAGTAATTATTAAATATCTTAAATATTTAACATTATATTTACATTACATTTATTTTTTATAAAAAATTATCTTCTATACTTAATTAGTGATGTCAGAAGCACATTTTGTTAGGGATGATAAACGGGTAGGGCGGATACGAATGCCCCTTCCCCTATTCCCATACTTAATACTTTCGTATCCATTATCTACCCACTACTCACGATAGGTAAAATTTTCATATTCACACCCGTCCACACGAGTATATTCTCAAATTTATCTCTACATCCACTACTTAATTAGATACCCACTACTCATCTCGTATATGTTCGTACCCACTCATACCCACTAACTTGAGATATGAGAAATGACGATCTTCAATTCTAAAAAATGTTTATACCCTAACTTTTGGTTAAATTACAAGTCATGTCCTATAAAATCTTAAGATTTACATTACAATCTCTTAAATTATACTTAAATTCATAATGATCCAAAATTTACATAGTGGGTAGTTAGTGGACGGACAGATACGGGACGAGTAAGACCTCAAACCCATCACCTACCCACTACCCACAACATGTATGACTTTTTATATACACACCCACCCACTGCCCACTAAACTTATATCCATCTCCACCCCAATTGAAACATATATGATACGTGCATTAGAGTCAAGTGATGTGTAAAAATTATCTAGTAACGCAAAACGCGTATCCAAATCAATTTGAGGGTCTAAACCAAGGAAGATCAGCATGATAACAAATAAGCGCCATCTTGATCAATCGTGACGATGTAAAATCCAACTCTGAGAAAAAATATAAACGAAAATAACGGACAAACGACCGAAAACTATCAAAAGGCATAGATAAACGCACCATAAAATAGAGATAAACGTGTTACAAAGACATACTAATTCTTATTAAAAACTAAAAAAACAAAGAGAAAATACAACGGGTGATCAACAACTAGCATCAAAATCGATGCCACCACCGACTAAACAAAATCCAAGAAGGAAAAGTTAATTTGATCTATAGAAGATGACACTAATTGTAAAGAAAAAAAAGGAAGGGGAGGAAAAAGAGGCTATAATTTTAAATTAAACTAATAATAAAATATATAAAATAAGTTAATATAAAAAATATTTATTAAACTTAATATATGTGTGTGTGTATATATATATATATTATGAATTTAGGTTAAGTATTTGTACACTAAGATACAAAATATATACATCATGTTATCTATTTTAGACCAAACATTGGTCTTAACTCAATGGTTGGCTACATGTTTGGTTTCCCAATACACTAGTGATACGTGGCATTATTTGAATGAAGAATTAAATTTATTTTAGTTTATTAAAAGTATGACTAAATTGAAAGAATATTTAAATAAAATTGATCAAATGTGTGATTATACAAAATACCACGTCACCTAATATGTTAATTTTAACGGCTGTTAACCCATGGTGATCACATCTTAATTAAATAAAAACAAATGTGACTATATATTATGTTTTTTGAAATTAGTGAGAAAAAGTGGACAAACACAAACATAAGTGATCAATCATGTAGTTGGCCCTATAATTTGAGACTATTGATTCTTCAATAACCTCAATAAAAATTAAAACAAATTAAACAATTTTGGTGGCAAAATGTTGTTCTCCATAGAAGATATGAATTCGAGCAACTATATATGCAGAGTGTGTGTTGTCAATAAGCTAATAAAATTAAGAATGTTTAAAAGTTTAAGTACCAATTAGCAGGAGTGTCATTGTTGGACGGTTAAATTAAATTTTTTTAAAATTTAGGGAGCAATTTAAAATAAAGGTCATAAATTAGGTGCGTAGTATAATTTAACTCTATAAATTATAAAATTTCTCTTTAAACCAGCCTTCTTCCGGCTCTCTCCACCTCTCTCCAGTCTCCACCCCTCCGAGCGATCCACACCATCACCAACTCTCGCGCAATTAGCTATTCGAATGTTCAACGTATGGCGAGCTTCCCAGAATAGTCGCGTGCTTTGGACCAAAACACTCTCCTGCCCCTGAAAGTCCGAACTGAACACTACCTGGTTACGCCGCTTCCATAAGCACCGCAGAACCACTCCAAAATAAATATCCCAACCATCTATATTCTATTGAAAGTATTGTGGTTAGCTGAGATTCTTAATAAGCCATAACCGAAGTTCCATACTAAAGAACTCACTTTTCCGCTGCAGAGGAATAAGACCATCCCAGACGCCTTTTGCAATCGGACAAAGTCGAAGAATATGACTGATCGACTCCACCACCGCACCACCGCAGCTGGCATCATTCGTCAAATGCCTTCGAGACCTTTCTTCGTTAGATAGAACCTTCCCATGAAGCAATAACCATAGAAGAAATCTAACTCGTGGAGGCCTTTTAAACTCGGTGATTAATTTCCAACCTGCTTCCTCGCTCACTTGCATTGCATATCACCCGAGATTGACAAGTAGGCCGATTTTATAGTGAATCGTCGCATGCTGTCCCATTTCCACCCAATCGAGTCCATGGCACATTCCGCGCCGGAGGTCTAATAGCGGTGAAATAAAGAAGAATCACTGCAGGTAGAGAGCGACGCAAAACTGACCAATTCCACTGACCATGAGGGGTGATTAACTCTCGGATCACCATCCGATCTTACGAATAATCATAGTTACCCAAGAAATGATCCCGCAGAGGACCCAAGTTACCCAGCCAAGAATCACTCCAAAACCTCACCGTCTCCCCATTGCCAATGTCCCAAACCAAGCCATTCCGCAAATCGCTCCAAACAATCCGAATGTCATTCCACAATCGTGACCCCCTCGATCTATCAATATTAGTAGGCACCAATTCCCGAATCTTATATTTGGAGCGCAAGACACGGGACCATAATTGGTTCGGTTGATCAACCATCCGAAACCCAATTTTCAACAAAAAAAAAAAGCTTGATTCTGAATATTTAGCTTTCGAACGCCCAATCCACCTTTACTAGCCGGCTGACAGACATCAGACCATTTAACTAAATGAATCCTTTTAGAATCCTCCGAGTTACCCCAAATAAAGTTTCGGATCAGTCCCTCTATGTCATCACACACCTTTTTGGGAAAATAGCATGATTGCATGGCATAAGAGGGAATTGCACACAAAACAGATTTAGCTAAAGTTATTCTCCCCGCAAAGGATAGCGTTTTGGTTCTCCAACCCGCTAAACGGTCACGAACACGCTGAACAATGTATTGATAAGTAGCTCTAGTGGCTCTGCTATACAACAAAGGCACCCCGAGGTATTTACCAAGTTCGTCAACACGTATAAATTGAAAACCGCTACTGATATCCTCCTGAAAATGCACATTTACATTAGCCAAAAAACAGATGTTAGTCTTATTCAGGCTAACTTTGTGCCCAGAGCTTTCGCAAAAACCACCAAGAATACGCTGAATGACATCGAGTTGATCGAGCGAGGCCTCTGCAAAAAACAAATGAGAAAGCTTTGGACCATTCCTGGATAAAACAATTGGTTTCCAATACCCCTCATTAACAGCTCGATTAATCGCCTGAGCTAACCTCTCCATGCAGATGACAAACAGATAAGGAGAGAGGGGATCGCTCTTTCGAATACCCCGAGATGGTCTGAAGGAATCTGATTCCGAGCCCTTTTGGGCGCATCTCAAGCCAATCATTTCTTAACTCACTGTCTCAATTATATCTTTACATTTTAAAGTAAGATACTTTCTTCTGCTAATTAAATAATGACTAGAGTTGTAAACGATTGTTAGTCAGCCAACTTCAGTTTTAAAAAGTGTTTACTTTCTCTCTTTGAGTCAAGCTCAAACTCTGAAACGATTCGTATTGAGAGTTGAGTTGTTGGATTAACTGGACAAGTAAAGCGTTTAATCTGTTTGCTGCTCTTTGGACGAGCAAAGATACCTTCATGCTCAAATGCATGAATATTCTCATTATATGAAGTTTAATTGTGTTATCAATTAAATCTTAATTCAATTAGCATCATACAATAACCTAGAGATTTACGAGCGCAAAATACATCACAATAAAAAACAACGTATTGTTGTTATTTGTTTGGTGGTCTGTCGAACTGAGGCCTCAAGTATGGCAACGTAGGCTCCGAGCCAATTTGCTCACCTAAAGACAACTTTCAGTGTCACTGCAAAGAAATTCATGTAACTTCACAAATGAAAACTACATATGAAAGATGGAAGTTAAAGGTAAAGGAAATTCATTTGATGACTCAATTAATTACGTTTCCTTTTGTGGGCAGGAAAGTCTACCTTACATTTTAAAAATTGAGAGATCAATAAATATTTTCTTGGATAAACACACATAAATATTAATAATATAAAAAAAATTATGAGACAAATACGGGTGAACACGATCAATAAAATAGATAATTAATAAAAAAAATTCAAATTTCAGGATAGATACTTATTCACCCTAAATAATATAGATCCACCACTACTTACAGAGATGATAATAGGCAAAATTGGCCCAATACTGTAGGCGGGCTAATCATTTAGCCCAATACGACATCAGATTTTTTTATTTTGGAAACTACAACATTTATTAAAGTGAATTGGAACTTATCACTGTTATTTAAATATAAAAATATTATTTGAATAAACTCATCATAGGCGTGACGAGTTTACCATGCTCGATAACATTTGTCATCAATCCCAAATTAATTTTAAAGATAGTCTAAAGGACTATTTTTTTACACCTGCTTGGCCTATTGGGCCAACTTTGCCATGATAATATGATCATATTTGGACCGGAAGTTCCAATTAGATGTCGAGGCAAACTTTAACGAGAGAGAGGTTTCCTCACGTGTTTAGAGCGCATTTTCTGGGCCTTTATTAGCATGGTTTATACTCAAACAGTCTTTTCGACTTCGTTGTTTTATGCTCATAGTTAAATGAATGGATTTTCATTTGATAAAAGAATGGGAGAATAACAGAAAAGGAGCATCCAGTATCTATCAATCTATGATGAGGACATTTTACTCATAAATGCTTCATCCAACATCTAGTAGTAGTCGCTGTTGTTATCGTCTTGGGTTCGCTGGCATAAACAGACCGCCCAGGTCCTCAACTAGCACAAACTTGTCCAAGTGTTTCTCTATGGTGGTCTGGGCTGGAGCAATCAACGTCTAAAATGTATGGGATATTGCATTGCTTTCGGTTCAAGTGTCTTTTTACAACTTTAGAAAGACCTCTTGTTTACGTTTTGTCCAGGATTTGGAAAACCAACTCTCTTTCCGTTCCTGTGTCCTAATGGTACAATTCCAACCCCCCGTATATACACAAGTGATCCCAGTGTACGAGTAAAAGAAGATTGCAGACGTTTCCATTCTACTTTCAAATCTACCCAATACCCTTTATGTGATTGCATTAACCAACTCAACAATCAACATTGGACGTTATCTACGTAATGGACCTTTATTTTACTATCTGCATATTTCGACAAGGTCTCCTACGAGTCGGAAAATCATGATAACGTTGATCAGAGTCCTTAAAGTTGATCACTTAACGTTTATTGGCGGTTTACTTCCTTTCGGATCTAGACCCATGGTTAACCATTTCCGTAGGGTACTGAGTGGTTAGTCTCAGCCTCCTCAGCTTGGTTAGTTGTAAGTAGGTCACATTCCACCTCAAGCTATATTGTCCTTTTGCAAGTACATACAAACAGCCTGGCTTTTCCCTCAAATCATTAAATGAATAATACATCAATCTGATAAACATTGGATTGGAGAATAAATGCATTAAATTATACATTGATACAACTAATACAATTAATATAAGGCCAACTTGAGGGATAGGATCTTGCGGATGGAGACACTGTCGGCTAAGGGGTGATTACATTATTAATTAAGAGTTGATAGTTATATAAACTTTCTTGCAGCATTTAACAAATAAGCTGGCTACAATCATCATTCTTTAAAATCAAATGCACAAATTCACAAATATGTAGTTAGGAGTCTTTTAGTGGGAGGGAGGTAAATGAACAAACGAAATGCAAATAAGATTCAAAACAACTTACCGGTTAAATCGGTCACTGCCTCTTCCACAAGTTCTTCTACCAACTTCCATTCTATTTCTCTTTCCAAATTATTTGTTTCCCTTTTCATGTTATCAACCCACCCTTTACCCACCACTCCTTTCTGCACCACTTTTTCCACCACCAGGTTGTCGCTGTCCCTATCGTCCCCCACCACACATTTCACCTCGCCGGAAAACCATTCCTTCATTTGGGCCCATACATGGTCAACCAGCATGGGTGATTCACCCTCCTTGGCTCTCATCTGGGCCCTGCCAAATGACATAGCTCTCATGCACCTGTCTGATTCATACCCCATGAATTCTACTAATGCTGCATTGACACAGTCGAACACGAGCTTCCTGTTTGATCTCCACTGTTGTCGCTTAGCCTCATGCGGAAGCTCCTTGTCATTCAAGTTGGCGTATTTGTCTCTCAAGCATGGGTCCAATGGGCTTTCAGGCGAATGCCACCTGGCAATAAATGAGTCAAACTGCACCTCCTCACCGTTGAGACCAGCAGCTGATAGTAATAATTGGATAAATGAAATCCAATCTCGTTTTTCCTCCTTGGAACCTGGGGAAAGTGGAGAGAGTTTTGATGGATATAATAATGTTGCTGTGTCCGAACAAGAATCATCCCATGAGAGGGTGCGAGCAATTGATTCTATAGGCGGTGACTTCTCAATCAAGTTATACCTTAGTGGCACTCCCACTCCTGTATTAAAAGAAGGGCAAATAGATGAGTATCAATGCTAAGAGAAAATAATAATTAAAAAAAATAGAAATCTCCAAATTTAATATGTTAAATTTACCTCTGTGCACTGGTTTGAGACCACCAGAGGACTCTGAAATTGTGTTCTTATCCTCCTCAAACAGAGGTTCTAAAACTGAGATAGGGCTTGGTTGTTCCTGATTCTCAGTTATCTGGGCGGGCATTGAAGGTTTTGCTACAGACAAACCTACCTATAAAACGTAACCAAGTATTTAAAAATGATTAATGTCATAGGGAAAACATAGAAGAAAAAAGATAGACTTCTCTTTTTTGTTCAAACAGACTAAAATTGCTACAATAGCACCCTCAATTAAATCAGCAAATTCTATTCTAACCCTATTACCGGAATTATCCCCGTTTAGGTTCAGCACTCACAACTGCAGAGAATGAGAAATGAACATTTGAAGTTCATGTGCTTCCCTCTTTCCTAGATTAAACAAATGGGAGACAACATATTTCAATGCAGAAAAACTAGAGCAGGTGACTTCTATGCGTGTATGCACAATGTAAACATTTGATCAACATGTGCATGGCCAAGAAACTAAGTTTGAACTACCTCCACAGCTATCATGTCTTGTTTCGGTCCTGTGCCACTCAAGTCTGGTAAGGGAGTTTTACTTGCTGATCCACCCGGAACAGGAGACAAACACTCTTGGATGTAACTGCCATTTACATACTGAGAAGCATCATTGGTGATATTTTGAGGGTGAATTAAGGGTGACCCTGGTGTTCCAGGAGTCACAGGAGATTCATCGGTAGATTGAGATCCACTATATTTTTCTTTATTTGTTTTTTTATTCTTTGAGAAAAATAAACTTGAAACCTTCCCCTTCAAAGATGATTTCATGCTCTTTGCCTTCATAAGTTCCCTGGGAACTTGTTCTTTGCTAGCTTCAGGATCAGAAACTTCATCATTAAGCCTGACACCATACATCGTGGAAGACCCAGGCACAGATTTTGACCTCAGCATATTCTTGGGAGAATCACTTTTACTTTCTTCTTTGTACAGATTACTAGCCATGCAGGAAGTTGATCCCCTTGCTTCTTGTTCCTTACTACTTCCCTCTTCTTCAGATCTCACCAACTTCTTTGTATCAGAAAGAGCAAGCATCTCACCCAATGTGCTTGAGCTTCTTCTGCCATGTCTTTGTTCCTGCAAACCCCTATTTGATGTCATCATGGCCCATCTCTCTGATAGCCGCTTCTTTGCTTCCCTACAAACTGAGGATTCAGGAGAACATGATGCACGACTCAAGGGAGAGGAAGAATAATGACTAGCAAACCTATTTATGTAATCCCATGAATGTCTAGAATTGGGCGGCATGACCTCTGAATCACTGAGGTTTTCCACAGCATACTCATTTTCAGATCTATTACATGAACTATCATCACTGGTGTAGCCATTGGAAAAAACAGAAGAGCGTAATGTTTCGTCCCTCCTGTGACCCATCATATTTTCACGCATCTGCCTAGTAACCTCCTTCACTACTTCTTTTGATTCTTGTGCATCATCTTCTTTAGGTTCCTCACAGAAATCTCCAAGTAATAACCCAGGTGAAGGGGGAGATGGAGATGCCGGAGTTCTAATGTCTTGGGTCTTCCCAGGACTGGGCTTCAATACCACTATTCTAGTTGGTTGGGAAGGATAATCAACTTTTGGACTGGGGAAAGGAGATGATGCAGTGTTATTTCTACCCCATCCAGTTACTTGACCTGTCTGAATTGATTTCTTGGTCTGCTTATCAACCTTGTCACCTGTTCCAGCAAATTTTTCTTTGTCAACCATCTTGGAAGGTCTAAGAACAGTAATACGCTTTGTCTGAGGAGGTAGAGATAAACTTTGCAAATTGAGATGTTGAGAGAATGTAGAATTTGGCTCTTCCAGAAACTTAAGGAATAACTCTCTATTGGAACTCAAAACTTCCAGTGCATCTTGAAATTCCTTGGTCTGGCGAAGCTTTTCGTCGGTCACCCGATGTTTCACTTCCATAAATTTCTGACGAACTAGAGCCATTTTATTCTCATTTGCATTATCAATATACCTCCCTTTCTGTGGAGAGCTACCTCTTGAATAGGTTGTTCTTGGGGAATGTTGCCAGATTTCATAAACATCTTTGTATTTGTTCTGAACTTCACAGGGACTTGCTTCACATTGTATTTGATCATCTGGAAAGCTTTGATCATGCTCCCAGCTTTTACTTGCTATCTCAGATTGACACAAAGAATGTTGAGAAGAACCTTTAAAACGACATCTTTGTGGAGATGAATTATGTTGCTGCTTTGGTAGCACATCAAGTCCCATCAACTTAGCCACCACATTGGGTGGGTTACGCTTCGACTCCATGTCTTTTGACATTTCCTGGGCTAGGAGCATCTTCATGGGTTTTACATTACCTTTCTTGTTTGACAAAGTTCTCCTTAATTCCGATGCCATCTGCACACACCAAAGAGCATAAAACAGGTTAGAATACAGGGTCAATTTTTATAATTCAAGTGGAAAACATATCTGGCCTAAAAAAGGTGGAAGATATAGAGACAACTACTTGCGTACAGAATCTATTTCCAACTTGCTTATAACAATCAGTATAGCAGAGACTAAACACCAAATATTTACCACTTTATCCTCTATTGGATCTCCAAAGGCGGGGCTTAACGTCCTAACAACATCAGATTGACTCCTAGAGTGTGAGGAACCTGCTCATCAACCAGCACTGTGTGAAAATAGCAGGATAAATATAAAATACCAATAATACCGATAAGCAACTCCCGATTCACACATACAATTGAATATCAAAGTGATTTTTGGGGGTCTGAGTTGCAACTTAAAACTTCCAGTGAGCTAACACGAGAATCATAGAAAGGCAAATAAGTAAAGCATCACTAAGGCAATCAACGTGAGTTAGAACAAATGACCCCCCAGGATTAAAATAAAATTCCATTAACTTGAACCTTTCTAAAACTTGAAAAATTGTAAGAGATATTAGGTATGGGCAGAAGTTAACTTCTGCAAATGACATTTTATAGAGTACTGAAATAGCTTCAAACAATCAATATGGGGCAAAAAGAATGCTAAATGCATTGAACCGAAGGGCGAAAATGAATATTGAATAAAATGACAATCATGGACCATGTTATAAAACCACTACTCGGACAAAATGTAAAAATTTCAAAAACAAAACAAACAAAATATACTAGCTTCTTCATGGCAAGAAAATCACCATCACGATGTGGTTTATCAGCAAGCAGGCGGTTTCCAGGAACGACCGAATTCAAATCAAACAGGTTTACCATCCTGCCCAGGCATCCTGGAAAATTTTCAATGTCCTGGCCATTCCTCTGTTGAATCCCATTCATTTCAACACCTGTTAACCACACAAATCAAAAGTACCACATTCACTTCCAGGGTTTCTCTCAACATACAAATTGATAATTAAATCGACTAAGAGAAAAGGCAAAATGTCGAATTCAAGCTATAAATCAGTTACATGAGAGCACAGGCATTCCTGGAAAATTTTCAATATACCTTTTCTATGCTGAATCCCATTCATTTCAATACCTGTTAACCACACAAATGAATACCAGATTCATTACCAAGATTTCTTTCCATAAAATACAATAAGAAAAATAAAAACTACTAAGAGAAATGAAAGGAAGAAGAAGAAGAAGAAGAAAAATTCAATGATGACTCGAAATTAATTGAAATTGCATGAACACTATAATCCTAAGTCTCAACTCCCAACTAACTGAAAATACAATACTACTAGAATTCAAACATGTTTTCTCTATCAATTCCATACCTCAAAACCAATTAAAACACTCCCAAAACACGCATACTGGCACAAAAGAAGAAGACGAAGAACAAAGGAGGCTTGAAAAGCAACGTAGAAATGGAGAAAAAAGGGAACTTGATTTTGAAGGGATGTGATGAATAAAAAGTTCAATAAAAAGACAAATCTAATTACTTACAGAGTGAAACATTAAGAAAAATATTCTCTTTTCCTCACATGTTGTATCACATCACACGTCGCTATAACATCTGAACAAAAGACTGTAAGGTATTCTTTCTTTTCAAGAAGTCAAATTTTTACCCTAATTTGACAGTGATCAAAGTAAGAAATCAACAGCATTCATTGGAAAATGAGAAAAAAAATCATCAAATAAAGAAAATTATGAATATCTAAATCAAGTAAAGAGACCGTAGCTTAGAGATTCAAAAACTAGAATATGTTGAATCAAAAACAAGGAAATCTAAAATAAAGTAAATAGCTTTAAAAAAAGCTGAAGCAACTGCAGAGTTAAAGAAAAGCAAATCTAGAAACAGTGTTTCCAAATTCATTTTGCAGTTACATTTCTGCATGAGTAATAAAATCTTCGAGGAGAAAAAAAAAGATCGAAGAAGAAGAAGAAGAACGCCAGAAACAGTGAAACTAAAAAAATGCTCCTTATCTCTCCCCCTAGAAACTGACAATGCCAAGGAAACGCTTCCGTTTCCCGCGCGAGTAAGAAGCAGAGACCAGAGAGAGATACCTGGTGAACAGAAGCTAACATCACGTGATATGCGGCCGTAGATTTACCGGAATCTGACGAACACGGCGGTGATCGGCGGTTGGTTCCGTTCCAGTGAAATGCGTCTCTGAAGATGAGAACTTTCAGACAGACGGAGAGAGAGAGAGAGGATTTGGCTTTTCTTGAGGTTTAGCTTGTCTTGGTTATGAAGAAAAATGTTTTCCTTTTTTTCTCTCCACCGACTCTGAGTCTCTGTGTGTCGGATTCTAAATGGCTTATTTAATTATGATTCATTTATGAGTTTCGATTACGGAAGAGAGATAAAGGAGAAGACGAGGAAGAGAGAGAAAGGAGTAGGAAGCAACTGAGAGAGCGAAAATTTGGGGTCGAGTGAGTTGAGTGAGAGAGGTGGGAGCGTGGGTGGTAAACGAATTAAAGATTGTTCCTTTTAAGTCCCAAAAAAGTTAATAATAATGAGTTAATGATTTTTCTTCAATTTTTTACTTACGTCCTCTATTTCTTATGTAATTTCGATTTAGCCCTTACTTTCTCTTGGTTTTTTGTTTTGCCGCCTAAGACAATTTACGCGATGTCTCACCTATATTACCTACTTCGTAGTAATAGTTTTGACTTTTTGAGGTTTCTTCATAATGTGTAACAGTGTGTTTACACTTGTTTATTTTTTTTATCACAAAGAAAATTCATTAATTTAAAATATTTTATCATATAATTAGTAGCATCTATAGCACTGTCATTAACAAAAACAATAGAAACCCAAATATTATCCACTCAACTCCTGTCTCTTTAGAGGCCTCAAACCATGCAAGCTAATGTCAGAGTACGAATTAACTTATCTCAGTAGTTAAAAAAATCGTTATTATTTTTAGAGGTCACGTTTTTAAGTATAAGTAGCTACAACAATTTAGTTGAGTGTTCATTGTCTTGTCAACTGATTGAAAATATTTATAACATATATTATTTTATAACCTCGTTATCTTAGTTTAAGTTTTAACCCATTAGGATTTTATTGTTGTTGTATTATTTTATAACCATCTTAACTTAATAAAAAATAATATCAGAGACGATGTAAGTGATTGAAGTTTATGTATAATGATTAATTTGTAACGACAATCAGTTGGATATTATATAGGCAAAAGAAGAAGGATTTTGTATTATTATTAGAAGATGACAGAGATAAGAGACATACTAAACAAATGCCTTTTTGTTTAGACTTGTTAGAGTATAATTAAAGTGCTCAGCGAAACAAATAGTCTAATGTAGGTGATATTGCTTTATCACATCAAATCACACATAATTAAAAAAGTGGAGTTTAATTCCCAGACATCACGGAAAGGAACCGAGGCAAATGAGAAGTGCAAGTACTTGGGTTGGAAATAGAATAGTGAGTAGAACCTAGACTGAGAAAAATATTCAATAAAATTGGCAATAGAATTTAACATTCTTAGTTATTTAATTGAGTTTGTACTAATTTAGTGATATCGGTGGTAAACAAAATTATTGATATATATTGATATCATAAATTCAAGTACTATGAATATAAGGCATAAACGTTTAATATAAAAAAGATTAATAATTATTTTTTAGTAAATATTACATTGTATTTATATCATATTAATAAAAAAATGTTATGTCTTTTCCTTATTTTCTAATCTATAGTTGTTCGATTTTATTAGTAAAATAATATAAAATATAAAAACACTAAAAAATTCAAATAATAAAAACACTAGAAAATTCAAATAATATAAAATATAAAGTCAAACTATTTTTTAAAATTTAATAAAAAGATAAAAAATAATATAAAAATAAAAATTAACCGACTAAAGTATTATAAATATATTTAAAAAAACTAAAAAAAAATAACAGTCTAACCATTTTTAGAGCCCGTTTTAGATGGCTTTTTTATTAATGGCAAATGGCAGGCAAGCTTGGCAGCCTGGCATGTACAAAATCACCTTTTCTTATGTATTAGGGAAGTAGAAGTAGTGGGTAGTGGGTAGTGGTTTTTTCCCCAATACCCAAGGCAAGTAAATTAGTTTGCTTAATAGGTTAATCACGAATTTATTTTGTAATCTACGGTAAATTTTACAATATCAAATGAACTCATCTTGTTGAAATTACGAGTTCAATAAAAAAAATATTTTAATGGTTTCAGATCCGTGGCCCTACGTGGAAAAAAACCGTGGGTAGTGTACCTAGAAAAAGTTTTTTTTTTTAAAATACTCTGCAGAGTTAATGAGCAAATAACGGGAAACGGAATTTCTAACAAAATTCGTACTACCAGTTGCTGCCGTGCCACATTTAATAATGTACCAGACTAGCTCAGCTGCTAAGAATTAAGATTCATCAATGCTCTGTCTCTCTCCCTATTAAGAGTTTGTAAAAGCAAAAAAAAAAAATCAATGCAGTATGTATAAACTGATGATGATATGCTATGCTGAATCAGGTATGACTAAGGAGAATTAGAAATGATCAGAACATGTTGTATGATTTCATTCTAACTACTGAAATTAACAACACCAACTAGCTTTCTATTGTTTTTTTTTTTTCCATTTCTAGAATTCTATTCAACATGATGCATGGTTGATACTTGATCCTTACCTCAAAATATATCACATGTGATGATGTTCAAGCCATCATTAATAACCACACAGTTCCCTACCGCATGCTCCCGAGCAATCAACAGAAGAAACTGCCACAATTATGGTGCCAGATTCCGAGTTTACTCTTACGGTTGTCTGCGACCTGCATTTTCTGAAACGGATGAATATGGCCATGTAGTTGGAGCAAGATTTAACCATGGCATTGATACCTGGGTCACATGTAATTACTAGAAAAAGAAATTTCATCAGTTATCTTCATGAATTTCATACCCAGAATATGATATTTAAGAAAGATGCAACCACCTTCAATACTTTTCTTGGTATGCGACCATGTATTACTGTAAGATGACTATAGAAACTCCATCCACCTAAATCTTTAATACGGTGTAAATTCACTACACAATTTTAGCTAGTCTGTGTTTGTTGGCCGAAGAGTGAAAGACTGCAGTATTGTTTACGCTTCAAAAGCCTGTGAACATCTTGAAAAAGCAAGGATCACATCAAAGGCATATTTGACTTTATGACTAGTCTATCATATGTTCTTTATCCCAGACTGGATTTAACAAGCAAAAAGGGATGCACCTGATCTTTGTCCCGAGATATTTGGAAATAGAAAGATTGCTGGTCATCGATGTCTACCATATCTTCATTGCAGTTAATAAGGCTTCTATAATCTGAACCACCCGAGGAACGCTCAGATTCATATTCACTAAGAAAGTTCAATATAGAATTCCCATTGTACATTAATGTCATTGCAAGTAAATGAGCATCACTATCTTCTTAAACCACTTGATTGTAAGATTTCCATTGTACATTAAAAGCAAAGGAAAGCTGATTTCCAAAACCAGGAGTATTATTCTCTTCAACCAAAGCATTGCTCATGAAGCCAAGGTGATTTTCCGGAGATGGGAGAATGTCACTTGTCTCACTGCCTTGACATGCAATTTCATAATTATTGTTGTCTGCAATGAGATTAAGGCGATTTGACGAATGAGATAAGGTCAAAGGAAAATGTTGCAGATCTGCAATTATTTCTTCCTCTGTGTCAGAAATAGATCTCCCAAACGCATGTTTGTCATAACTGGCACTGGTGGGAGACACTAATGCATGAAAATCTCGGGGATAATTTCCTATTACAGGTGCTGAACACAACCCAAGAGTACCAAATGATTCACACCAGTTATTTCGACTTTGCCAATGGTTCCATGAATTTTGTACAGCAGGAATCAAGGTCCAATTTGTATTCAGACCTGTAGATGATAAGCTACTTTCATTCACGTCTATAGAATGCCACTCAAGCAGCGGTAATTGTGTCACTCTTCCTGGAGAAGATCCAACTGGATCATGTGAATCATCTAAGTTTTTGAAAGTACTAAATGGAATATTTAGACTTTGGTGATGATCCCATGAACATTGTAATGCAGGAACTACGGTCCAATTTGTATCATGCAAATCATCAGGCTCTTTGAAAGAACTAAATGGTAGAAACGATCCATGTCTCACCAATGGAAAGACAAAACTGGAGTCACCTTCAATGAAGGAGATGAGATTTTTCTCTCTTAATTCAAAGCTAGGTGACTCTAAATTATTTTGAAGGGTGCAGTCATTGTTATATGGTGGAGTAGATATTAGAGTGCATAGCCTCCGTTGATCTGTCTGACCAGTAAGATGATGTACCATATGAGGAATCCCATTCAAGCAGTGGCAACAGATTCTCTCTCACAGGTAAAGATCCATTTGGGTCGAGCAAAACATCTGGATCTTTGGAAGAAATAAACGGTAGAAAAGATCCATGTTTCACAAATGGAAAGCCTAAAGTGGAATCACTGTCAATGGAGGTCAGATTTTTCTCTCTTAGTTTGCAGGTAGGTAACTCCAAATTCTTTTGAAGAGCGCTGTGATTGTTATAGGTTGTTGACTCAATATTAGAGATGATGGCGTCTCTCGATATGTCTGGCCAATAAGATGATGTACCATTTTCCAAGTATGACAGTGTATCTTGAACTTCTAATATCTTCTTTGTTGGAAACCTATCAAGTTTAGTGGAAGGAACATCGGACTTAGGGCAGGGAAATAACTCAGATTTGGTATTGCTCTCCAACGGTGCAGACTCAGCACTTCTGTAACCCTGCAAGAGCCATTTTTTTCTTTTTTTAATATTGAAATAAAATTAACATAAGAAATCATATTATGCAAAAAGTTGCAAGAGCATACATTCTTCTCATTACTCCTAGGAAAAAGCAGACTAAGCAGCGTTGAAATGACATCATACCTGAGATAACATCTACACAGTGCACGATATGAATTGCGAAAATAAAATTAACTTTTAATAATGACAAGGCTAACCCTTTGGAATGGAGTTCCTCTATCTCAGGAAATGAGTTACAAGCCCATTGAAGCAGTTTCTGTCTCTTTCTAGAAAATAACTCTGTTTGATCAGAACAAGACCCTGAAAGTTGAAATTATTTGATTTTGTTCAATGAAATAGTTAATAATTCTCAGTTTTAGCAAAGGACTAATCTCGTTTCAAACAGCAGATGATGCTTTCATTAGCTTTTTCTATTTGCAGTTTGAAAGTCCAAGGTCAAACCAATATGCAGCATTTCCCTATATCCTTTCCCCCTCTTTGCCTCTTTTACTTTCGAAGTAGAGAATAAAAAGTATTGTACGAGTATTTCTACCTCCTGGTTTCTTGTTGTCACTATGATGCTCTAACCAATCTTCTAAGCTGAATATAGGCTCAACCTCTGCAAAGGTATTCTTTAAATTGACCTCTGTCAACAACAAAAGGAATAGTGGTCACTTTAAAAAATATATCTTCATTACTTTGGCTTCGTGGAGACCAGACATGATAAATTTAACGAAAGAGTTTCAACTGGATTGATCATGGACAAAAAAAGGTTGGGAACTTTGCATCGATAGCAGGACAATACTTTAAAAAGTGCGAAGATTCAAAATAAAATTATGATTTATGGACAATAATTTTACGTCATACACTAATATTTGCACTAATAAACTGAAAATACAGCCTTAGACATAAATTGGGTAATATATGACCAGCAAAAATGATAATTATTGAAGCACAAGAACCAAAGAATCCACTTCACAGTGCATACCCAAGTTATTCACTGCTCTCTCAACCAGTGAGGGGGATGGATCCAAGTTGATATCTGTCACATTGTTAATAGGAAACGGTGATCTTGAGTCCTTAGAGTTGATTTTTTCAATAGACAACAATGATTCCAGCTCAGGGCTAGCCTTTGGGACAGACAATGGGGACTTAGCAATGTTAGTCCCCTCAGAGGATTTAGATATGTTCCTAACTATTCTGGTCCCCCCTGCCAGTAAGAAAGAAATACCATAATTGTTAAGCGAGAAACAAGGAATTGAATGTACCGAACAAAATGAAGGCGATATAAGTCAATTTCTGTTAAAAGTGAGGCCAATACCTGACTTAAACCTACCTACTCCTCTACAACATTCGCTGGAATTCACCTTGTGTGTAGGGTTTTTGACCCTCTGCATTGAATGTGAATCAAATCTTTTGCCCGCGTCTTTCTTCAGTTTCGTGAAAAACGCAAACTCGGAAGTTTTAGGGTCATCACCTGCATATGAACGATGATTAAAACAAAATTCTTTAAACGCTTAGCTTAACAGGTACAAGTAAAAAGGAAAAGATCAGGCAATCTAGCTGAATTCCATTGATGTAGGCTTTTAGAAGGAAGCCATATACAGGAAAACATTTTCCTTCCAAACAAACAAGAGCAGGTTGAGAACTAAACAGGGCGAGCTCGATTTTTTTTTTTAAAAAAAAACTAGCGCCAGAGAAGTTCAATTTAAACTTGATTTTCATTTAATAAATGAATAAATGGCAAACAAAAAACAGGAGAGGGAAAAAACCTCGATTTGATCGGGAATCGGATACGTTTACAGGGATCCTAACTTTGGGCTGAGCTGCATGAGATGAAATTCGGATTGGAGACGGATCTTCGGGATTAATTTCGTGAGATCTTCTCTTCATTTTGATCTAATTCCTTTCATTTGTTCTCAGATTTCAGGGATTGGGTAAAATAAAAAACACTAGCCTGTACTTGGATGAAGATTGGATCAGGGAACAGAAATCAGTGAGGAACTAGTGCCGGGAAAAGAAGTTGAAAAAAAAAATGTAGTTTTGGCGCCTACGTGGCACGTGAGATGGGGTTCGCCATTGACCAAGGTCCTTCCTAGGCATGCCTCTTCTTTTTTTTTGTCCAAATTTGTACATTAAGAGAACCATTCATTTTGATTTTTGATGATTTTTTTAAAAAATAAAGAAAACAAATTTTAGGTGACTTTTTACTTTTATATTAAACTTTTATTCATGTAAAATAAAAATTAAGAAATTAACATAAGATGCATTAATTTCAAAAGAAAGAGATAATTACATATGATGTCCTCAAACTATAACTCCCATTCTAAACCAATCTTTAAATCTTAAAACATTTAATGTTAGTCCACATTATAAATTGTTATCTAAAATTATCAGTATCATCTCATTTTTATCCTTTCGTTAACGTACTTGTTCATTCTACTATTTTAAAAAACCAATCTATTTTCGAAGGTCATGAGATTGATTATTGAATCTCAAAAATAGATTAATTCTCTTTTAAAAAAATATGGGTACAACCAACAACGGGTTGGTCTAGTGAGATGAGTCACTAAATCCCTTAAGCAATGTTAGGAGTTCGAATCCTGACATTTACGAATGGAGCAAACTGGCTTGGGAGGGTCGCCTCGCCTCTGTAGTATCAGATCTTGATTAGTCGGTCAATAGATCGGACACCAATGATTAATTAAAAAAATAAAATTATGGGTACAATTCATGACTAATTAACTACCCATAATTATTTAACCGACCTCTTGCAATTACGAAGGCCAAGAATATCTTCCCAAATCCTAGCAATTAACGACATATTAACAAAAAATTAAAATAAAATAATATTAATAATGTTAAGACTAATAAAAAAATATTTTAAAATTTAAAGACTAATCTTAAACAAAAAGACAACCATAAATACCTTTCACTATATATTCATTTCTATTAATTTAATAATTTTCATACCACGATTAAGAGAAATTACACATTTAGTATTTAAACTATTAATTTTAGTTCGGTTTAATACAATTTTTTTTTAATTTTTTACAAAATCATACACAATTTATTTTTATTTCATTTTAGTATCCCACCATTAAAAACTTTAGTTTTTGTTTCGTTTTAGTACATCATTCAAAAGTTAACGTTAAATTTTGAAAAAAAAAACTGAAAGTTTAGGTATTAAAACATATCACAATTAATAGTTTATGTATTAAACGTATTAAGTTTTCAACACGAGGTACTCAAATGAAATAAAAACTAAACGATAGATATGATTTTAAAAAATATTAAAAGTTTAAATACTAAAACTGATAATTTATATATTGAATATATAGTTTACCCCAATTAATTGTGTTGATGTGATTTGTTTAATCCGGGATACCAAAATCACTGCAAGGGGTATTATAGTAAATAAAAGACATATTTATCCGTGGCGAAAGGATGACTCGTAATCACATTATACATGCAAAAGAGATATGGTGCACAGGTGGCAGCTTCCTAGTGGAGTAAACAATTCGAGTGCACAATCTCAAGATGAGATAAATCAGGTAGCCAAAGAAAAACAAGGAAAATCCAATTCATTTAACGCCTCTCCCCCTCAAGCAATTCTTCTGCAACAGAGACGGAAAGAAAAAGGATCAGAAGAGTGAAGACATGGCTAGCTGCTCCAGCATGGCATCGGCGGCTTCGGTTTTCTTGCGAACACCCAGTGTTTCAAGCTCCGCAGGTTCCAAGACCAGCAACATGGTCTTTTACCCTTCAAAAAACAACAGAAACACAAGGCTTGTCGTGAGGGCGGTCGAGGAGGAGGCTTCACCGCCGTCTCCAGCCCCAGCAACCACCACTGCACCACCAGAAGGTGGCGAAGCCCCGAAGCCTAAGCCACCTCCAATCGGACCAAAAAGAGGCGCCAAGGTGAAGATTCTAAGGAAGGAGTCGTACTGGTACAACAGCTACGGATCAGTTGTTACAGTTGACCAGGTCACTCTTTTACCTCTATACTCTTATTTCGAAAATTCATAATATTTTTTGTAAACCTTAAAAATTATTATGATATCATCGTCACGCTATGTTGCCGTCGTAATTTAATACCAAGTCTCGATGTGGGTACACACATATATATATGTGAAGAAACGATTGTTTTTGATGTGCAGGACCCCAAGACTCGGTACCCGGTCGTGGTTCGATTCAACAAAGTGAATTACGCCAATGTATCCACCAACAACTACGCACTGGACGAGATTGAAGAAGTTAAATGAGTCACTGTTGCATTTTGTAATCTCTTTAGTTTTCAGTGATTTATATATGTTCAGACTACCCCTCAGCTCTGCCTTTAAACTTGTTTCTGCCTATAAACGTCTTGTACAATATTATCTTCTCTCTCTCTTTCGTGATCGATGTTTGATGCTTAAAATTGATTAAAGCACCTATCTGATTCGTTTTATAATCGTAATAGCCGGGACCCCTCCAAATAACATAACTGTTTTTCCAATAATGATCATGATTTCGAGCCAAAAACCTTCCACTTTCACGCATGAATCACACGGCATAACATGAGGTGACCACAAGCACTCTACTCAACAAGCTACCGTATGCAATATAACTCGGTTCCTGGTGGACTGTTCATATGCAAACAAGAACCCCGTTTCTTTCTGCTTTTGGCACAGATTTACGAGAAGGAAACCGTTCCTGGCGATGATCGGTGTTGTAACAACTAAACTCGGTAATTAGAGGCAAAGATGATTACATTCAGACCACACTGCACACTATTTCATCAAGAAACTAAACCCGAATCCCATTAACTGTCATTGTAAGAAAACTAATTGAAGTGAAAAATGTGAACCCTATAGACTTGAATCGAAGCATATGGAAAGCAAACTAACCTTCCTTTCAAAGAACTCTTCCATCCATTCCATCAAGAAGACCTGACCATAGTCCCTTTACCAGTGGCAACTGAGCGAAAAAAACATTCCAAGGAGGGTAACCAACTCCACTTCCACGCACACGACCTTCCAAGTGCAGAGATAAATAGCTGCATAATGAAACACCACACAACTAAATTTCACTAGCAGCGGGATTTGTATAGACATGTCTCCTTATATTCGGGTATCATCAAATGAGAAGAAGATGGTAAGTTGGAGGAACTCTTACACAGGAGATTCAGGGGAAGCACCAGCCAACTTCTTTTGTTCATTAAGCCACCTGTATTTAAGATTTAAACAAATATATATCAGATAAGACAGAGAGAACATGAGAACTAAAAAAAGGAATCGATCATTGCAGAACATAATCTTACTCAGTCCACTCGGAAACATAAACTGGGGTCAGCAGCCAAAGGCTCTTTCCTTTCGCAGTGATCTCTTCATGTCTTCACTCTCATCAAAGTCGAGACTAGGTGAATTCCTATCCGTAGCGAAAGGAACCACCAGCACCCCTCTTTCCAGAAGCCTCGCAGTGAAAGGCTCAATAAGTTTAAATGATTCTAGGATGAACGACATAGGGCCGGAACATATCACAAGACGAGCAATTCCTCGCAAACTGCTGACCGGAATGATCTTATTTTCATTCACTCGGAGCTTAAGATTCGAAAGGCTTTCTTCTCTCGATAGCCTGGCGAGTTGTACGTTCTTGGCAGTGTTATCCCTGAAATACAGAAATGCAAAGATAGATACCACTCCAATGTCAATGCCAAGACTCGTCAAAGTGTCGGCGACTTCGGATTGCAGGATTTCAAAATACTATATGAAGTTATTAACAAGCCTCGATTTCAAAACAAAGCCTGGTTCATAAGCATTCAATAACAATAAATCAAATCAGTAAAATCCACTGAAAACTCCATCATATTGTTTAATCCATCCAATCCATTGGACTCACAACTTATGCACCAGAAATCTAAAATTCTCAGCTTCAATTGAGATGTAAAAGTTCGCACCAATGACAAGTTTACATCAGCAAAGAGAATCTTCAAAATCCATAAATATTGAAACAAAATCAGAAGATTTAAAAAAAAAAAAAGATTAATGAGAGTGATCTGAGAGGAGTACCTAATTTCTGAGGAGGATGGGGGCTTATTAGCAGCTGAACAAACTACGGAAGAAGACAGCAATGGTAGCTTATTTTGATCTTGTACAGATAGAAGAAAGTACATTCTTTCTAACATTAGTTTAAGGTTTGAGGGACCAACAATGCAACAAAACAGTGCCATGGAAGCCATGGCCGGAGAGCTGCTTGTAATTTGAGTTTTATTGGTTCGTTACATTCGTCTGTTACTTGCGGTTAACATTGGTGTTCCCTGGAGAGATGTGATCAATAAACTGCCACGCTAGCGGTTGTCGTCGTGAGTTGCCCATTTGTCTTTTCGGACCAGAACCGGTATAGACTTATTTTTATGGGTATCGAACCCATTATATGGAAGCTTGAACGAACTTGCAGCAGTAATTTGACAAGTCTTCATTTCATAAAAGCTTTGAACAATGATGCAAAGTCATAAATTAAACTATTCACACATGTCAAATTAAAAAAAAATATCATAAATCTCTTTACAAAGCAAAGCAAGTGTCTCTTAAATAATAAATCTCAATAAAAAAATCATGTTAGTGTCCTTTTAACAATGATAATAAATTATATCTTAAAATATGCTAGATTATGGAAATCTACATATCTGAGTAAAATTAATAACTTTGGATTTACTTTTGTTCAACCTTATCCAACAATGTGTCGTGCTGATAACATGTTTTAAAATAAATGAGAGATATAAGAGAAAAATTATATATATATATATATAGGGATTAAATAGAAATTTCAAGCACAAAGTATTAATGAAAGAATAGAGAAGACAATGACCGGTGGGTTGAAAATTTTACAAAGAATTATAGTAGAAGAATCAAATTAAATAAAATGTAAAATTAAGAGATTAAATAAAACGACCTCCTTTTGAATGTTTGTAAAATAAGATTACAGAACATCCGGGGGTAGGGTTACAATATTAGGCCTGTTGTAATATCCCATAGAACACGTCTTTGTCGGAAGTTAGGGATACGCATAGGACTTTTTG